GCATTGATGTACGATATAATATAAATTACATCATGTTTTGATTTGTTTTTAATCCCTTTCTTGTCATATTGATGCTCAATCAAATAGTATTTGGGTTATTAAGCTCTTCTAGATCTATGGTGCAAATAGTAACAGATGAATCTCGTTGAATTGCAAAATCTGGCTGAATTTTTAATGATTTTTTGTGGAAATCTGGCAGAAAAACTTTAGATTCAAATAGTAACAGCTTAATCTGGCTGAATTACGGAATTGTTGATTTTCTTATTAAACTAATAAAATATTATTTAAACAATAATTTTTTTCAAATTTAGATTTGTTTTATGTTTCTAAATGTATTAAATTTCACATATAGTAATAATTTTTTTTATTAAAATTTATATTCTAAACCTAACTTATTTCATTAGTATGCTTTTTAAAAGTCTATTTTGCAAAATTTACAACTATTTTTACTATTTACAAGTAAAATGAATAAAACTTTCAAAAATTATTTATTTATAAAATTACCATAGAAAACTATTTATTTTTGTTGATTTATGCGTGTTTTGATTTTCTCGTAGTACATTTATAATTTTGAAGAAACGTAATATCAAACTACGGGTCTATATACATGTAAACTTGAAAACCTTACAAACTTATTATTTTTCCAATATATACATGTACATTTGTGTTTTGGAAGAAGAGAAATTTTTGTATGGGGAAAAACATAATTTCTTTAATTTATTTTGTTACATATTTTTTCTAATGTTTTGTGGAGTGATATCGATCGGTAATTCAAACTTGTTGAATTTTAGGTTATTATCAAAGCTTATTGTATATGCATATACGTATTTCAAAACATTTCAACACGTAGCGAATTAGCAAAAGTTTTAAAAAAAAAAAATTAGCAAAAGTTACTTGATGTTAACATCATTTAAAAGCATTTCATTCGTTCAATATGTTTCATCCGATGTAAATGCATAATTCAACGGCTAAAATGAAAAAAATAAAAATAAAAGAGTAAGCAGTGGTCTCTAGTAAGCAACAATGCAAAAACTCTTATTAATATATTATTTATATATAATCAGCAATTCAGCTCATTTTGTCTTTTTCTAATTTTTCCTCCATATTCAACTTTGTCAAATGGTGTCTAATTTTGTTAATTCAGCTGAATTCTGACCAATTCAGCTAATAATATGTTACCAGTTAGTACCCTAGTTTGTTTATAAATTAAATAAACATGCATCGTATAAAATCATAGAACAATTTCAATGTCTTATCATTAGTATTCTTGTTATCATTCTACATATCTAACTTAATACTGCACGAACAAGAATGACACTCTATCGTTTTGGGATATAAGTCAGATGGACCCCACACACTCGTTGAGATATTTAGACCAGGTCTATTGGAGGTTCTGGACACAGGTTCTAGATATTTTTTAGGCAAATGAAAAATTAAAAGAAAACTCAGTATCGGTTCTGAAAACAGGATTTGTAGAACTCTTCAGAACTCCGGGAAAACGGCTTTTTTGGACCAGGACTATTGCAATCGGGTGTTTTTGGACCTAAACTTGTAACGTTGGTCCATTTAACTCTCAACCACAAATTTATTCAAATTCAAAACCCAAACACGCGATATTGTTGTTGATTCAGACCCCGACGAAGTCAACGTTGGTCAACATTAACGGAATGCTGACCTGGGCGACACGCGGATTAACAGAATGGTTTAGTTGGTGTAAAACGACGTCGTTTTGTACACGTGATCAAAACGACGTCGTTTTGATTTG